AGGGTAACAGTATCAATAAAAGAATATCAATCAATATCTGAAATGATGGCAAAATATGAAAATATAAGGAAATAAGCGATTTCTCAACGGATTTACGGAATTAAGAGCCGAAATTGGAAATGTGACTGAATAGAACTATTATGCAGCCAATGAGCATTTTTACCAATTTATTAGACGCCGTGGGAACGAGTGAGGCTGGAATTCTGGGTTGCTGCTTGAGATTCCCACGCCCGCACATGCCCGTGCCTAACTTGCCCAACATAGAACTCCGTCAAATCTTCACCGATTGGGACGTTTTTGATACCGTCGGAATCGTACGAATTAGCACTATTTTTAGGTATCAAATGCGTACCAAGTCATCGCGTGAATAGAAGTGGTTTTCTAATCGTGGAAGCGGGTATCCGAGCCGGCTCTGCGCATGGGCGATTATCCCGCCTACAACGCGCCGATCATAGTCAAAACCGATGCCTCCGATTACGCGATTTCAGGCATTATCTCTATCCGCTGTGCGGATGACGAGATACGCCCTGTCGCTTTTCGTTCGAGGACGTTGACGGCGCCGGAACTCAACTACGACACCCACGACAAGGAGCTTCTAGCAATCTATGAAGCATTCCGAGGGTGGCGGCACTATTTGGAAGGCTCCGGTACCCCCGTCGATGTGGTTACTGACCACAAGAATTTGGAATACTTCTGCACCACGAAGCTCCTAACGCGCTGCCAGGCTCGTTGGTCTGAGTTTCTCTCTCAATTTAACTTGGTTGTCCATTTCCGCCCGGGAAGACTCGGCGCGAAACCAGATGCGTTGACTAGACACTGGGACGTCTACCCCAAAGAGGGGATAGGGACTACGCTCGCGTAAACCCTCAGAACTTCTGACCGGTGTTCACGCAGGAGCAGCTCGTGTCCTCCCTAAGAGCTACATACCTTGCCAAACCCGTGCTACGAGCGAGCTCCCTTGTCGACGTCGATGCCATCCACAAAGACATCCTAGCCGCCCTCCCCGCTGATCCCACCATCGCCGACTACCTCGCCAGCCCGATCCCAGAGGACTCCGCTGGTCTCGAGATGCAGATGGCCTATTACGGCTAGACAACCAAATCTACGTCCCTGATGCCAACGACCTCCGGCTTCGCATCCTGAGGTACAAGCATGACCACCCGCTCTCTGGCCACTTCGGGCAGAACCGAACCTTGGACCTGTTACGCCGAGAGTACACCTGGCCGGGCGTCCGCACATTCATCAAGGACTATGTGTGTTATGGAAATGGAGAATCTTGTGGTCCGTGACAGGCAACCAGACCTTGAGGCCCTTTGCTATGGAAATGGGCCTAGACTCCTATAGACCAGGCACACAGGTAAGATATTTCTTACTTCTTCTCACTTCATTCTCTGCCAAACCCCATGCCAAGCTTTCCCACTGGGTTTTGGTGCTGGCTGGGGGATTTGTTGATTTCCAAAGGACTTCCTTTGGCCATTATAACATTTGTATTAGATAGATACAAGTCATATGATATGTATGGCAATTGCCGAGATGTTTTTCTGATTATCGAATACATAACCCAAAAACCTTGTACCGCAATTGTAACATCCTCACCATTGTGCCACTACTGTAAACTCAACCTGTAACCTTGGAACCATGTCCACCTCCCTATTCATCCTCTCCATGACAAAACCGCAGCGAGGAGGGCATTCCCACGCCCAACCTCCTGCTGCCCGCTCCCACCAGTCCACCGGGTGGTTGAGCGGTCACTCCCATCCAACCAGAAGTTCCCTATCAGGAACTGTAGCCTATCCCACCTCCTTAGGAGAGGGATATAGTCCAGGCAGCTCCAGAATGTCTGGCCACGCACCCGCGGGTCCCACTTCCCACGGTCACTCACTACCGTGCACTGGTCCACCAGCCCGCTTTCCCCAACAACTCCCGCTACCGGTATGCTCCCATGAGCGCCAAGTCACCGATAGCCACCAACTGGGTGACTCCCTTAGGGAGTCCCAGTATCCCACACTACCGGTACGCTCCATTGAGTGCCAAGTCACCGCTAGCCAACTGCTCCCAGCACACCCGCTACCGGCACGCTCCCAGGAGTGCCAAGTCCCCGTTAGCAGACAGCCAGGTGGCTCCCTCAAGGAGCCCATGTCATACTCGCTACCGGTACGCTCCCAGGAGTGCCAAGTTACCGTTGGCCAACCCACAGGTTACACTGCCAGACACTCATCCCATTCCGCTCTCCCTCCAATGGCTACGCAGCCACCTCCATTAGTGAGCCGAACAGCTCAGGTTGGGTTCCCCGGAACCCGTTCCTGTAACATTGGTGCCCCAACCCCGGTCGCACCATCATCAAACTCAATCGTGCGACCTCGAGCTCACACACAGGAGGATTACTCATCTAACTTAGGCACTGTCAACTCAGACTATCAGTATTCCACTATCCCACTAAAGCGTGCGCTAGACGAGTTTTCATCACCACGGAGATTCTATTATGAGCGCGCGCCTATGGACATGCTATGTGAATGGCAACGGCTGGGCCCAGACAACATAGAGGTTCAGCCATTCCATAAACTGACTACAGGCTCCTCCACCTCCTACCGTCTCATTGACGAGCGCTGTAAACAGCTGACCCTAATCCTTCGTGCGATGGACCACTTCACCCAAACCATCTCCGGTTCCGACCTCATCCGTGCCACGTTCAAGGCAGATCCAGAACAGATTGTCTACTCCACATTGATCACGTCAGGCTGGACCGAGCTAAGCACCTTACATCGAATTTGGAGCTATCTACAGCGAAAACTAGCTGACTTTGTTCTACACTTTGAACATGCTAAGGAGGTCCTCGCCCTCACACAGTCCCGAGCAGCGAGCTCCCATTTCGTCACAACCGACCCCTCATTGGCACCAGTACGACCTCGCACACCTGAGGTCATTGCAATCCCGCCCGCTGCAGAAAAATTGGAGTTGCCCTCACTACACCTGTCCTCAGCGCCAGATGGCACAGTTGCAGCTTGTACGTCGAGCACAGAACGCTGCAACAGCTCGACACCCCAGTCTCGTCAAACGACCGTTCCTGCGCAACACTCATTTGAGCTGGCGCATCCATTGGTGCAACTTCGCCCAAGCGTGGCAGGTTCATTATGCACAGGGCACCTCACCGGCTCAACCTGTCGCAAGACCGAATCGATGTCACTGGCTGCTCAGTTGGTTCGGCCGGCTGCAGACTGTTCAACAAGCTCAACGGGCACTATCAGCCCTTCACGTTATGCATCCCGTCTGTCGAGTGCCACACACCTTGACGGTTTGACACAGCTCGTAGTGGATCTGGCGCTTCCAACCATCCAGATGGACCGACCATCTGTTCCTTCACAACATTCACCCGAGCCATCACACATACATGAATTGCTCCGTCCAGATGTGTCCTGTCTGTCGAGTGTAACACACCTTGACGGTTCAATGCATCGCGTGGCTGCATCATTACCTCCGATCGTGCAGTCAGACCAGCTAGCAGCTTTATGGCAGGGTTCACTTGAGCGGGCACGCCCGTTAGTACAACTTCGTCAAGTTGTGGCATATGCACCAAGCGCGAGGCGCTTCGCTAGCCCAATCTGTCGCAAGGTCGAACTGGCATCACTTGCTAATCAGTTGGATCGACCAGCTGTCTCATCGCTTAGACCAATGTCCCCGTTCAGGCATTGTCCAGTTGCGGACCGTCCAATAAGCGTGACGGAATCCATTGGCCCTTCACATTGCCAGGTTGAACCATTGTCCTTGTCGGTTCAGTCAAACCTCCCGATTGATGCATCCTGCACATCAAGCGCAACAAACCTTGCCAGTTCGACACGGTACATAGCGGAATCTAGCTCCCCGACTATCCAGATGGACCGACTGTCTGATCTTGCGCAGCACCCACTGGGGCCACGTTCATCGGAGCTGGCATGTCCAATCAGCTTGACACCTTCCGTGGCCGAGTTAACATCACAATCTGGCCAGTTGGGTTCCATTACTGGTCCCTCACGGTGTCTGCCTGAGCCAATACACTCAGATGAGCTGCATCGCTTAGTCATGGCCTGGTCATTGAGCGTGGTACACATCTCCAGCTTGACGCATCATGCGGCGTTTAAGTGCCCAACTGTCCAGTTGGATCACCCAGCTACACCCTCGTGGCACCCACACAAGTTGGCATGCTCGGACGAGCCATCGAGCTCAGTTTCCACCTCAACTGCAACGTACGCGGTCAGGTTGATGTGTCATATGGGTGAGCCGATACCATTGCCAATCCAGCTGGGATCTCCAACCGGCCCTTCACGGCATCCACCCGAGCGGACACATTCCGACGAGTTGCTTCGTTCAGTCACGGCCTGTTGGAGGGGTGCGGTCCAACCCACCAGCTCATCATCCCACCTGGCTAAGTCAACGTTAAAACCCCTGGCTAACCAGTCAGATCAACTGGCTGTCCCTTTGCAGCATCCAGTTGAGTCAGCATGTCCGTTTGAACAGCACCGCTCAATTGTGGATCACTTGTCAAACACAACATACTCTTTCAGCTTGACACCTCGCAAGTTTGAATCATCGACCTCGCTCCATCCATTGTCCCATTCAGTTGTGACCTGTTCATCGAGCACAACTTCAAGCTTCATTGGTTTGACACGTCGTAAGGTCGGACCCGCGTCCCTGCCTGTTCGTTCAGACAGTGCGGCCATCTCTTCATGCCACCCTCTCGTGTTGGCTCGTTTGAATAAGCCGGACGGCCCAGTTCCCGCTAGCTCAGCGATGGCAATGCATGTAGTCAGAGTGAGGCCTCACACAGCCAGGCAGATGTCACCACTCATCCAATCAGGACCGCTGGTTGCATCTGCGTCTCATCCCCATGACTCAGAACGCCTGCATGTGCTACATCAACCAGAGACTGCCCGCTCATTGAGCACAACCTACGCTATTAACATGGTGTGTTATATAGTTAGATCAATGCTCCCGATTGCCTTGCTGGATTCACCAGTCATTCCCTCATGATGCCATCTCAAATCATCCTGCTTACGCGTGCCGGATCACTCAGTTGTGGTCAGCTTGCCAAGTGCAGCACATTCCAGCAGCTCGACCCCCCTGTCAGGTCGAACGGTTACTCCTATGTGGCACTTACCTGAGCTGGCACGTCCAATTGATCCGTTTCGTCCAGTCAGGGCTCATTCTCCAAGAGTGATGCACTGCTCCCACAATCCGTCATGTTACATAGTCGAACTGAGGTTAACGGGACGACCGGAACGCCTGGTCACACCTTTGTGGAACCCGCCCAAGTGGTTCCCCATTGATCTTTTGTGGCAGCCACCAGAGTCGACAAGTTCGGACGAGTCACGTCGCTCAGATGTGATCTCTCCATCGAGTATGACCCGATACACCAGCCTAGCGTGTCGTGCCGTCAATTTGACATTATCGCTAGTCCAGTTACACTTGTGTCACGCGATCGAGCTGGCGCCCTCACTGGCCCAGTCGGTCCCTTTGGTTGCTATTTTGCGCTGTACTCCTGAGTCGCCAGACCCCTTGACTGATGACTCATCGAGCTTGATGCAACTAGTCAGCCCGATGCTCTTGTCCGTTCTGTTGGGCCTTCCAGCAGCTGACTCCCATCACCCTCGTGGGCTGGGAGGCTGGTATGATCTGTACCATCCAGCCAGTGCTGGATCACCACGGGTGACAAGTTACACCGGTTCGACGCGTCAAGCGATTGCGTATTCAGTCGTCATTGATGTCCAGACGCTCAACAGAGTTTTCCGCTGTGAAGTCATTATGTCCAACCCCCAGCTGGGTGGAACTCAGATTATGATGCTGATGTGGTCAAGGCACATTACCGACGCCAAGGGCGGCCATTTCCCAACTACCTCGCCCTTTGACGGTTGGATCCGTGAACTGCTACCTTTGCTTGTCAGGTCGGATTCTCTGGTGAATCCTCCACATCATTCATACGAGCTAGATGAACGGTACCATTCAGCCATGGCCGGTTCGTCGATTGCTGTGGTTTCCATTAATTTGATGAGCCAAATGATTGAGCCGGTGTCATTACCTGGAGTGGTCCATGATTCAAGTATGACACACTACGTCAGTATGAAGTGTCATGCCTCCAAATCGACGTTACCTCTTGCCCAGTCGTTTCCTCCGGACACCCCTTTGCATCATCCTCCTGAGCTAGAGTGTTCACGCGAGCTGCAATGCTCAACCATGGCGCACCCACTACGCACGATGCATACTGTCACCGCAGCGTATTGTGCGATAGAGCTGTCGTCTTCGCTGGGCCAGTCGAACCTGTCGACTGTCATTTCACGCCGTCCCCTGGAGCTAGCGCGTCTACTCGAGTCGTACAGTTCAGCGGTGGTCCATCTGTTGACCTTAGCGTATTGCCAGATGAACCTTCTGGCCGATCCCTTGCGTTGCCTGACCGAGTCGGCATACTCGCGTGAGACAGATTACTCAGGGTAGGAGAATCAAACAAGGACCATCTGGCTGTTCTTACATCCTGCGTTCTCGAACCTGGGTGTTCGCACCATCTGTGTCACTCAGCCTTGACTAGTCGACCAATTGTGACGAATCACATCCGTTTATCGTGCCAAGCGGTCAAGCCGACCCCTTTATCTACGCTTGTAGGCCTATTGACTGTTTCTATGCACTCCCTTCTCGAGGCAGCACACTGGCAGTGGTCGCACCACTCGGTATCAGCACACACACTAATTAAGGCTCGTCCCGCTAGTACATTGCACTGTGCAGACGAGTCGACATCCTCATACAACTGGCTGGATCTCTGTGCAGTACCCACTTGTCAACTCCCTGAGCCAGCATACCTGCATGGGCTATGTTGTTTGCCGGTAGCCATCTATCGATCTCGGCGCGTTTCACCAGGATGACGCGCCAGGCGTCTGAGCCAGAATTCACGCATGTCCACTCAGGTCCTCTAGCTGATGCAGGTTACCATCTTCTCGAGCCGGCTCTTTCGTATGGCTCACACATGGTTTGTACATCGTCAGAAACGCATACCATCAGATCAGCGCAGCGTACGGTCAAGCCGCCCTTGCACGACCAGTCGGATCCACCGGAGGTTCCTGTCCACCGTCCTCTAGATTTGGTGTGCACCGTGATCCATCATGTAGTTGAGCCGTCATCCCCATTTGGTCTGTCAGATTTCTCGGCAATTCCTGCGACGTATTCCCTTGAGCAAGTACCTTCACGGGTATGGACACAGCCAGAGCTCGAGTTGTCGCACACGGAGCCACTACGAGCATCACTGTCCATGTCGTGTCTCAAATCTCTCAAACGGATATACACCGTATCGCTGTGCTTGGAAATGACAGGCACGATGCAAGCGCCGCCATGGCACCATCCTCGTGAGACGTGGTACCCACCAGATGTGGTACACCCCACATTGTGGCAGTCATCAAGCGTGGTTTTCATTCAGGTTGTGTGGTCAGCTACACGTCGGACCCGACCAAGAGTGGACCTAGGAAGAGCCCTTATACCCCGTTGGTGGTCTCAGGTCATACCAAGCCTGGCAAATTACATGCCACGCGGTGTTGTGCGAATTCAAGGCCATGATCATCCACATGGCATTTATAAGCATGGTGTCAGGAATGTTCCAGAAGCGTATCCGGGTGACCCGTGAGGCGCGCGAAGTCGTCCGGGCTCGTAAGGTCGGAGGGGCGGGACTTTAGCTTCAGTGACTCGGGTGGAGCGCTGCGCTTCGTTCTTACGTTGGTGTCCCAATTTCAGACAGAAGCCTTACAATGAGGATAAGAGTTCAGAGGGGGAATCCAAGTCGATATACGAACTGAGGTACATCCGGTGTAACCTACACGCGTTATAAACACAAGTAACTAAATGAGAGCGGCCCGGAAGGAGTGGCGGATCAAGCGCGATATTAATGAATGAAGAAAAGAACAAATAATCAATATCGGCAAACTTGGTCAACAAAAGGAAAGCAAGGAACAATAGGAGGAACAATAGTCTGCAAGCGGACAAAAGAGAAAAGGCCATCCGGCCATCTAGCAAGCCGTCCGGCTGGGGGCGGACAACAATGAAGCGGGCAACCTAGGTTGGGAGGTACGCGCGCGAGGGAGGAAGTGCGGATGAGGGTGACAGGTGGACGGATGGGTGGACGGATGGGTGGACGGATGGGTGGACGGATGATGATGATAGCGGGAGGGACGGGCCAAGTGACACTAGGACACATAGAGGGAAGTGTCGGATATGTCGGGTCGTGACACATGGCAACAGCAGCATTATGATACAAGTTGCCTCCTTCCCTGCTGGAAGACTAAACGTTACACCGTGTTACCGCGAGAACCCGAGCTCCGACAGAAAAACCGTTGCCATGACTCGGCCCGAAAGCTCGCAGTGGCACCTCTTCCAGGCCAATTGCCTATGCGTCTCTGTGTCCTCAACTACTCCTAGGTCCACAGCCGCATTGTCAGATCAGTCAAATCCGATCGTCCTACCACACCCTCTGAGATGGTCAAATCATCTGATCAAACGAGGGAATCCGCTTCCCAGCCCGGTCCATTCTGTCTTCCCAGTATCATACAGCGTGGTTGGTCTATCTCGACTAACTTCCGAACCCACGCTGTCCTTCCGCGTCCTTGCACACTCACCCTCCATTCAGTCATGTCGGTCCAGTGTAGGTGAAGAGGAGTTGAGCCCTCGAGATTCAATGACCGGGTTCTCAGAAAACCAGTCCCTCCGCCAGAGGACCGCCCCAAAAGGGACTTGCATTAAACAAGTCGTCGGCAAGGTCCTATCGTCATACTCGTTAAATACAGAGGACGAAAGATTCAACTTGGGTCTAATCAGACCAGCCTCTCCCTCCTTCCCTCCAAGCTATTTCTGAGACCCCTGGTCTCCAACTCGGCTCCATATTGGGCTGATGCAGGAAGGGATACGCGCGGTTCAGCGAACCTATTTACCATTGTTTGTTTCGAAAACTCCCGGACATTGTCTCTCTCCGTGCCCCCCCCCTCAGCACCCATTCCTAGCCTCTGAAGGCAGCCATGGCTGATCGAAATTCGCTGGGTAGCATCAGTGGCTGGGATGGGAGTTAAAGCCCACAGCGTGGTCATGGTATATCGGAAGCTGCCGATAACAATTCTCAACAGCGACCTCCATGCCTCTGGTCATGGAGGGGAACTATCCGTACCTGCAACTGACTTCAGTTCGGTTGGCTACCCTCGATCTGCCAACCAAATACTACCGGCTATCCGGATCCGGTATCACCAGTTACAGTTTCCATTCCTTATTGTACCATACGTTTTCATGTCTCTATTACGACCAGACTCATCGAGTTCCAAGCTGTCGATCGTCACCCTCTCAGGGATCTCAGGGAGGTTAATCCCTTACGTTTTCACGTCTCTATTACGACCAGTTCCAAGCCATCGATCGTCACCCCCTCAGGGATCCCAGGGAGGTTAATCCTACCCCAAACTGCACCATGCACGAATCTTCGCACCTAACCCGGTCGTTGCCAAGTCACTCTGGCTGGGTAGTTCCCGGACCCGACTTCACTAGACATCTCTAACCCAACCACTCAACGCACATCCCATCTAGGGAGTCTACTAGCCACAGCATGTTTCCCCATATGCCATGCCCGCGCTGGTCGTTCCACCACGTAGACTCAATGAAGCGGGCTAGTCGATGCATGCGTTGTGCCCAAGGATCTCCTATCGGATCGAACTTCGACCTCAATCGTGGTGCCTACGACGGAAGGCTCACTCGCGAGCTAATGTATGACCCTCACAACATAAAGCGCCAACAAGAGAGGCCTACAGTTTGGAGCCTCGGCTACGGCACACCCTCAACGCGCTGGTCTCACGAGACCCCACGTCTCCTGGAGAGGATTGTCTGCTCTCGTTACTGCCATCTGCGAACTCGCGGTGTTTGGTCGTACCGGCTGCGAACCGTGCCAAGAACGGTGTCTCTGATCGCTACAGCGCCCCTGCAGGTCGTCGCTCATACGCAACGTTTGTAATATTCGCATGGAGCACAAGTATGCGCGAGGTGTCCCTTCTGCATCCTTACGCTCACACCAACGGCTCCGCTGCCAACGATGATCTACTGGCATAGGTGCAGAGTGGAGGGGACTTCTCATGTCCAAAGTCATGGGCTCGATCTGCCAATCCGACTTCGTCCCCTAGAAGACACGGACAGGTCTAGGCGGGAAAACTCCCTTTGGCCCAGGGTTACTCAAGTCGGACGATGAGGGCATGATTGTCTCGCTCAGGTACAAGGGATGACGCCTTAACCCGGATCGTCCTGGATGCCGTCCCGGGTGCTACTGTTGACTCAAGCCGGAGATGGTTCCCTCCCCAGCGGACGTAACGGTTTCGACTGTTAGGATGCCAAACAACCTCACCACAGCCGCCCAGGTTCAGGCCGTGGCTGAGTACCATGGACAACGGACCCAAGCAGCTGGGCTCAGTCAGCACCGCCATGGAACTATGGACACTTTTGGCTGCTACCCCAGGGTCGGCCTTGTTGCCCGTGGTTTCAAAACCGCGTGGTCCCAAAGCTACTTCAACACCCGACGGCCCCGGAAGTTCCACTACCCAGCAACACCGACCCCAACAGGATCACCCACCTCATTACACCCTCGGTGGTGTCCATCACTATGCCGCGATGATCTCTAGGGTGAATTCCCTCTGCCAATGGATGAGACCATCTCCCTCCCATGTAGATAGACCCAACTCCCGGGTCGGACACCAGGTACCACGCCACCCCGATGACTCAAGGTGGACTACCAGTGGGGAAACGGCTGCCGAAGAGCGCGGGGAAAAACTAGGGGAGATTGGGGTGTCAAATCAACAGCTACATTCCGTCTTTGATTATTCATCTCGGAAGGATAGAGAGCGACTGCAAGAACCAATGATCGCCCAGGCTGTCTTCTCTATCCCTCCAACTCCTCCTATGTGGGTTGGGTGACCATCCCGGATCTGCTATTGTGCACAGGCCACCTCCAAGCTGTTGTGTTTAGAATGCCAATGTCCATATTAAGCCAAGCACAACCCTATGTGAAGGAGGGGGATTTCCACGTGGGAAACAGGACATGCCACACTACCTGGTCCGAGTCGTCTAACTGGACTACAGATGGATGATCCAATTTCAGGACACCTAGGATCCCTGGTCTATTCCTAACATGATTGCACACAAGATCATGCCGCCCAAGCTCGTTGCTGGACCAGAGCCAGATGAAGTCTAGGACCACATCTGTAAGGATGGTCTCCAAGCTCCATTCCTAAACCAAGGCCAGCAACACTGGGAACCTGGGCTCTTGGATAATCAGAGGAAAGACATTGCTGTCACACTGGCCCATAAGAGTCTGGGGGGCGATGTTATGGAAATGGAGAATCTTATGGTCCGTGACAGGCAACCAGACCTTGAGGCCCTTTGCTATGGAAATGGGCCTAGACTCCTATAGACCAGGCACACAGGTAAGATATTTCTTACTTCTTCTCACTTCATTCTCTGCCAAACCCCATGCCAAGCTTTCCCACTGGGTTTTGGTGCTGGCTGGGGGATTTGTTGATTTCCAAAGGACTTCCTTTGGCCATTATAACATTTGTATTAGATAGATACAAGTCATATGATATGTATGGCAATTGCCGAGATGTTTTTCTGATTATCGAATACATAACCCAAAAACCTTGTACCGCAATTGTAACATCCTCACCATTGTGCCACTACTGTAAACTCAACCTGTAACCTTGGAACCATGTCCACCTCCCTATTCATCCTCTCCATGACAAAACCGCAGCGAGGAGGGCATTCCCACGCCCAACCTCCTGCTGCCCGCTCCCACCAGTCCACCGGGTGGTTGAGCGGTCACTCCCATCCAACCAGAAGTTCCCTATCAGGAACTGTAGCCTATCCCACCTCCTTAGGAGAGGGATATAGTCCAGGCAGCTCCAGAATGTCTGGCCACGCACCCGCAGGTCCCACTTCCCACGGTCACTCACTACCGTGCACTGGTCCACCAGCCTGCTTTCCCCAACAACTCCCGCTACCGGTACGCTCCCATGAGCGCCAAGTCACCGATAGCCACCAACTGGGTGACTCCCTTAGGGAGTCCCAGTATCCCACACTACCGGTACGCTCCATTGAGTGCCAAGTCACCGCTAGCCAACTGCTCCCAGCACACCCGCTACCGGCACGCTCCCAGGAGCGCCAAGTCCCCGTTAGCAGACAGCCAGGTGGCTCCCTCAAGGAGCCCATGTCATACTCGCTACCGGTACGCTCCCAGGAGCGCCAAGTTACCGTTGGCCAACCCACAGGTTACACTGCCAGACACTCATCCCATTCCACTCTCCCTCCAATGGCTACGCAGCCACCTCCATTAGTGAGCCGAACGGCTCAGGTTGGGTTCCCCGGAACCCGTTCCTGTAACAATGTGTCCTCCTGTATGGCTTGCTCAAACAGCTACCTATTCCCGAATGCCCATGGCACTCCATATCAATGGATTTCATTGAGCAACTTCCTGACTCCTCCGGCTTCACGGCGATCTTGGTTATTGTTGACCGGCTATCAAAGCAGTGCGTCTTCGTGCCAACGACCGATACCATAACAGCCCCGGAGTTAGTGAAGTTGTTCCTCCTCCACGTCTTCTCCAAGCACGGCGTTCCATCCCACATAACCTCTGATAGAGGTTCAGAATTCGTTTCCCACTTCTTCCGCTCCCTTGGCAAGGCTCTGGACATTCACCTACACTTCACCTCGGGTCACCATCCCGAAGGCGACGGTCAGACCGAACGAATGAACCAAACACTGGAGCAGTATCTGCGCGTCTATTGTAACTACCAGCAGGACAACTGGTCTGAGCTCCTGCCCCTGGTGGAGTTCGCCTATAATAACGCGCTGAATGCTACAACCGGTGTTTCACTGTTCTTCGCGAACAAAGGTTACCACCCGAACCTTGCCGTACACCCCGAGCGAGATCTGACTTCGGCACGAGCCCAGGAGTACTCGGTCAATCTCGACTCTCTCCACCAATTCCTACGTGAGGAAATGAACCACGCACAGCAACGTTACCAGGGCCCTGCGGATGCTCGACGGCTACCTGCTCCCCCATTCGACATTGGCAGCTCCGCATTCGTGAAGGCCAAGTACTTCCGCACCACTAGGCCTTCGGCGAAGCTCGCCGATAAGAACCTTGGGCCGTTCGAGATCATCGTGCAGCCAGGTTCTCATTCTCGTACTCTCCGCCTCCCCGACACCATGAAGGCTGTGCACCCAGTCTTTCATGTCTCCCAACTTCAGCCCGCTGTCCCCAATCCCATCCCGAACCGCACGCAGCCGCCACCGCCGCCAATCGAAATCGACGGCGAACTTGAATATGAGATCGCCGAGATCCTCGACTCTAAAATCGATCGCTGGCGAAGCTGCAAGCTGTTGTACCTCGTTTGTTGGGACGGTTACGAAGGTACTACAGAAGAGACTGAGTGGCTCCCCGCAACCGAACTTGGTCACGCTTCAGACCTCGTTGCGGACTTTCACTCACGATACCTGGATAAGCCGGGGCCAAATCGTGCCTAAGACACAGGACGGAATGGATGGATTGCGCTTAAGGATCATGTAAGAACAAAGTGGAGTAGGAGTCGGAAGTAGACGTCGTGGGACGATCGACCCTAGACCCCGTCACGCTCGCCTCCCTCTCCCTCGCTTCCCTTGCCTTGCGCCTCACCCTCGCCTCCATCAACTGCCTCTCTTCAGTGTCACAAACGTGTTCCAACAATCGTCCTGCCACGGCGGTTAGACCAGAGATCGCTTGATGGATGTCGCGAAGCACATCATAGATCCTGTCCTTCTCGTTGACCACCTCATCTTCCTCCATCTCCACATCGTCCACATCCATCGTTGACCCCTCTCCTTTTGGTGCTTTGATACGAGGTCGCTTCGTAGATTGAGGCGTCCCCGCCCCGTGTACACACTTCTGCCTGGACTTCTGACACGTGGCGCAGATGCCACGATTGCTGTTGCCTTTGACACACTCCATGCCTCTCTTCACGCAACGTTCGCAGGGGGGCAGTCCTTCCCCCGCCACTGATGTAGCAGCAGGGCGCTTTTGTCACGACCATGCATTCCGGCCCGTTAGCCGCCCGTCCCGATGCCGCCCGAGCCTATTCCCGCTGTGCAAGCGCGAGCATGAGCGCCAACCTCAGCCCTATCCTCCCTGAGGGCTCCCTGCTCACTCCCCCACTTGCCCCTAGGCTCCCCTACACTTGGCTGACTCCCCCACAGCCACACTGACCTCCCTGCCCCGAGTCTGCCTCTGGCACCGACCTAGTGTGACTCCGCGACATCGCCTACTCCGCTATGATACCATCACCGCTATCGTGGCCCTACACCCCTTTGTTTATTTATCTGTTATTGTTTGTTTTGACCCTCGGTCATTGCCGGCCGTGGTGCGGCCAACCCCGCTCTTTGTTCCTATTTGCTTCCGGACCCTTCGGCCTTCGGCCCGGGTCCACTTCTATTCATTCTACCTTCATATATATATCCTGTATACTACATTAAAGTACCTTAGCTCTAATATCGACTTGACCACGACCCCAAGCCCTGACCCCAACAAGGCAGCCCCAGTGAGTCTGAAATGAGGGCCAAGAGACAACTAGGGGGCACAGCACTCCCTTTAGAGTTGCTGAGGCCAAATGCCCTACCCTCGGGCCTTGTCTGAGGCATCGCAGCCATCGCGGCCCTTAGTGGTCCGCATCGGCGACCTTCGGTGCCCGACCCTGGATCAGTATCTAACAGCTTTGATCAGGGCAATCAGTAAGGGTTCCTGGCAGAGATCACACTGATCGGGCTACTCACCTTGCCTGCGACCACATCTGACGCCTTCAATCGCCTCTCCTCCTCAGCGGCAAGACGTGCAGCCTCAGCTCGAGCCCTGGCCGCCTCTTCTTGTTGTTGGGCCTCACGACGCGCAATCTCAGCCCTGCGACGCCGCAACCTCTCCGCCTGCTTCTGTTCCATCAGCTCTACATCGTCATCAGACTGATCGACGATGTCCTCCTTGCTCCACATCCTTATATCCACTGGATTCTTCTTGGGAGCCATGAGGTTAGAAGATCAGGTTGTTGTGGTGGTAAGTTCAATCACCGCGCCGGCAGAACCAAAATTTCGGGCTCAGCCGAGCCGGTTCCCATGCCAGTTCCTTGGGACTTCAAGGGTTCAGTCCTAAGAGGGGGATACTGTCACGACCCGGCGTTCCCCGGGGCCAGACGACCTCCTCCCTGACCCTCTCCCATGCCCGAACACTCCCCGCACACTCCGCTCGCTGCCCGTCGCCGTCTAACCACTTCCCGCCACCTCTCCACAACCCCTCTCTTGATTGTCGTTGAACGACCTAGTGGCGCAGAGCGCCGCGACCTGTTGTCCCATGTTTCGCTGCACCTTGTTACCTCGCAGCGAAGGTCACGCTTGACCTTCGCTGTCTTGAACACGTGCTCTTTGTTTGTTTTCCTCCTTCTTTTCTCTGCCCGCAATCTCCGTGAGATCTGGCAACTTATTCCCTATTCAGTTTCCTAGCGCTTATATACAGCTTGTAACTAATGCTTGTACTGTAGTTCGAAATCAACTAGAGTTCACCCCCTAAGCTTACCTCTGTCCCCCATGAGACCTCTGACTTTCTGAAGTATCGGGACCGTGTCGAGAACGAGGCGCAACGCTCCTCCTTGAGTCGTTGAAGCCGAAATCCCGGCTCACTCGCCTAAGTAGCCTCGGCCTCGAGATCGGTGGGGTTTATTCCTCGCTAAAGCTTGGTCGTGTGTAGGACGCCTATTCCACTAGCAGGCAACGCTCGGTCGCCTACGGCTACCATCGGCGAAGATTCGCACGGTTCTGACAGTTCCCCACATCTGAATCTAGCCAAATCTCCACTCAGCCTACCTACAGCAGCACTCCAGAAGAAGGGGGAAAGCTCGCGC